GATTAAAGTCCAACACATGGCCCAATTGATTAGTCCAGTCCAACATGTATCATTCTAGGGCCCAATATCATACAACCATCTAGGCCCCAACTATGGCTCATCTATGGCCCAATTTTCCAAATTGGGCCCAATCCTTCATATGGGCCTTACCCTAAAGCCCAACTAATTACTCTAGTCCATTTGATTATTCTCGGATGGCCCGATACAAAGCCCAAGTGAAATTAGGGTTTCACATCAAATGATAACTATGGTTAAGTGTTTCTTACTTAACCCACTAGGGACTTAATCCGTTAAGGACTTAATCCATTAAGTCCATTATTGCTTAGATTAATTTCTGCCAATGATTATTATTTAATATTTCACTTATTAGATAATTCTCGTGTGCCCTGAAAAATTCCCAAATATTAATATTTTCTCAATTAACTCATTAAGGACTTAGTCCATTAAGTTCTTTACTCTACTTAACAAATGACATGAATTAGGTTGGGCTTAATTCGCAATCTAATCCCAATGGCCCAAAAGTAGGTCCAATAAAAGTCTAAGGCCAATTACTCGCAATTAGGGTTTTCCACTCAAACATGGCCCAATAGGCCCAAAATGAATCTTTAAGCCCATTAAGGTTTTGGCTAGGTCCATTAGGGTTTTGCTTGAGGGGCACCACCCACTACCACTTCGGGAAGTGGTGGTCTATGGCGGCTTACGGCGGCGGCCACCACCTTACGATGGTGGTTGTTATTATTTTCATTAATAATCCAAGCTAATTACAATTACAAGTTTTACTCCAAAACTAACACACACACATACACACTAACTAACTAACTAAGCTAACCACATACACAACCACACCATGGTGGCCGGCGGCGATGCTTGGCGGCAGCCACCACCTCACAGTGGTGGCAGCGACTTTTCCGGCCAACAAGCTACACACAACACAAAGTATAGAAAGAACAAACACCCACAGTCTTTTCTTGCTTGCAACCAGGTCCAACCACCCTCCTGGTGGTGAATGGCGACAGCAACACCATAGAAAGGTGGCAGCGGTGATCTTGACGGCGTTAGGCAGTAGCACACACGAAGGGGGTGGGTCTTTAGGAGCTCGCTCCCAGTGACAGCAAGCTAATAGTCACATGAATCTCGAAGCAACATCACACATCCACCCAAACTCGCAGCCACCACCCATGGCGGTTGGTGGTGACGAGTAAAACAGCGACAGCCAGCAGAATAAGAAGAAGGAAGCATGGAGGGACTATGGAATATCAACGAACTGAGGGAGAGAAAAGAATGGAGTGAAGCAGGTGCGACGGAGATGAACTGCTCCTCCGTCACCGACTGACGTAACACCGGCAGCAGTCACTACTCCCATAATCCACACTCCCCCGCTCCTCCCGATTAACACGACATTGATGCATTGATCTTCTCTTCGCCGGTACACTGATTGTTGACAGCGGAGGGGAGATGGCGGCGCTAGGTTGGAGATGAAGAAGGAAGTGAATGGCGGCGCTAGGTTGGAGATGAAGAAGGAAGTGAATGGCGGCTGGAGGGAGGCATAAGGTTGGCGGCCGCTTCATTGCTTAGGGTTTAAGATGAAATAAGGTGGGGAAGGGATACGGGTATATCCCGTATCTCATTTCAAACATAAGATATGATTTTTCAATTTTAGCCCCTCCACCCTTATTTGTTTACCTTATAAACCTTAACTTTTAAAACTCTTTACAATGAAGTCCAAAATAACCATTTAACCCTTACTTCTCATAATCTATCCATCTCAAGTCTCGATAATTTACCACGTGGTCCTTACCTTCATAAATATTTATAAGGCTAATCCGGAACTGACACTTTTAATCTCCGACTTCTAAAATTCTTCACAAATTATTCTGAGACTTATATTTATTAATTTATTTAAATAAACGGGGCGTTACACGTCACCAACCATCGGACTACGGACCACCATCGAATTGATCGGAACACCGTCGGAGTGATCGGACCACCAACGAAATGTTGTTTCTTCACTCACTATAGATCTTCTTTGACATTTTTCTTTCGGCCCCATTCGTTCCTCCCATCTTCTTGAACTGGCGCCCCAAACAATTTCATTCTTCTATCCTCTTCCTGAACCATCTTATTCTGCCTCTCATCTTCCTTAGCTGGAAAAGCACTTCGTCGGAAATCACCTCCGTTTCATATCCTTTCCGATCTCGTTTTCTGTCGGTCGTGGTTTCATCGGTTACGAATCTGAAGCAGAAGGAAACCGGATCTGGTTTCTGATTTAGTTTCACTATCCATTGTAGTTACGATACAAAGTTTTCCCGCTCTGCTTTCATCGGACATCATCAAATTATATCTCAAACATCGTCGATTTGTATCTCAAACACTAATAGCCGGTATATCTCAAACACTTCCTTCTCAAGTACTATTCGTGATATATTGCAACTAACAAACTCATTATCTTGATGAAACTTCAGAACATGGCAAAACTTAGGGCTACAATTATCTTAAACATTTTAAAGTTTTAAATTAAGATCTTTAAGTATTTGTTTTTTGTAACATCTTATTAGATTATATTAAGATGTTAAAAAATTACTTGATATCTCATGTATCATTGACTAAAAAATCTTAATGTTCAAAGCTTGAGTAACTTCATTTATACCTCGTTTGTTTATATAAACAATACTAATAAAGCATGATGTATTTATTTCATTAAAATTATTTTCAGGTGAAATTCAAATATATATATATATAGATATATCGGGTAATACCCGAATTACCTAAACCCAACCCGATACTCGAATTTAATTTAGGTCGGGTAACTAGTATTTTTTTAACATGAAAAACCCGAACTACCCTATCCGAATTACCCGAAACCCAAAAAAAATCCGATCAACACCCCTAAATAAGACTTGAACCTTCACTTCAAACAAAAAAAATACAACACACGACTTGAAACCTTTGATGGGTAAATATATAGTTAATGGATTACCCTTAACTTTTTGGGATAATGATTTGAAAGGGTAATGAACTTTCGATTTTTGTCACATTTAGTCACTAAACTTTTTTTTCGTTATCTATTTGTCATTAAACTATTGAAACGGTTCACATTTTACCCTTATGACTGGCTGTTGCCGGTCATAAGGGTAAAATGTGAACAATTTCAATAGTTCAATAGCAAATACATAACGAAAAAAAAAGTTTAGTGACTAAATATGAACAAAATCGAAAGTTCGTTTCCCTCAAAAAAGTTAAATGACTAAATGTGAACAAACTTACTCTTGTATTATGTTTTAGCAAATTATTTATTTTTATTAAATTGTAGCAACATTTGTTGATGAAGAAATCAATGAAAAAAAAAAAAAAAACCCTGAAAATATATTTAAAAAATAAAACAAAAAACCAAAATCGAAATAAAGACCAATGGTTTGACATTTTCCAAAATAAAAAATCAAAATTATCAATCTGATTTTGGTTTTACAAAAAAATGAATCATTCTCACTGGTGTGAATTATAACCATTAGTTTGGCATGTGAAATTTGTGACATCCCATGAATATGTAGTTACAACATCATCTGAACTCGTAATTCATAGTAAGGGGTTAGAGTATCATCGCATGAATACGTAGTTACAACATCGTCTGAACTCGTAATTCATCACCTACAGGTTATGGGCCTGCTGGTGTTTCCACTGGGTTGTCTAGAATAGTCCGTGGTCGTCGTCTATACTCTGGTAGATGACTACATCGCCACATTGTTGGTTAAGGTTATGGTATCTCCTTTCATCCTACATCACATATTCATCATCATCTATTTACCTAATTATCATCACCTATCTCTCATCAATTTATTTCATCACACACCAACTATTACATCTACCTATGTTTCATCCGCAACATATTTGTAGATATAAAATAAATATACCGTTTAAATCTTTTAAATCATGTATAAAATCGTTCATCCAGCATAGATAACAATTATTCAAATAATATGCACACATAACACGTAATTTATATAAAATACTTCATATCTATGTGTAAGATGAAAGTAACTATATATACCATAAAAATCCCATAATTGCTTCCTAACTTCGAACCCCAAGGTTTACTTTACTAAAGCTTCATATTCTCGGCTCTGTGGACCTAGAAGGGTCCAGATCTATCACACCAAAAAGCTTAAGATAGCTCTTCCTCTCACTCTACACATTCAAGCTGGCTAGGGTTCTCACTTATGGGAAATTTAGTCGCAATTAAAGGCCATAAGTGCCTTTAAATATGGCTCGGGCCCAAAGATTTAGGTTTTCTGCCAACAGTGCGGACTCGTCGAGTTGCCTCATTGACTCGTCGAGTCTATTTATTAATCCGAGTCATTAGTCACGACCTTACTCGACGAGTTGAGGCGTTAACTCGTTGAGCTTCTCTTCTTAACTCAAAAGAAAAATACTTAAATTATGATACCTATAAATCCGGATATTACATTTTGTTTTTTTATTTCATAGATTTCTTCATCATCAAATGTTGCTACAATTAAACAAAAATAAATAATTTTGCTAAAACATAATACAATATGAAGTTTGTTCACATTTAGTCATTAAACTTTTTAGAGGGAAACGAACTTTCGATTTTGTTCACATTTAGTCACTAAACTTTTTTTCGTTATCTATTTGTCACTAAACTATTGAAACTGTTCACATTTTACCCTTATGACCGACTGTTATCGATCATAAGGGTAAAATGTGAACAGTTTCAATAGTTCAATGACAACTAGATAACGAAAAAAAGTTTAGTAATTAAATGTGATAAAAGTCAAAAGTTTGTTACCCTTTCAAATCATTATCCCTAACTTTTTTATAGAAACACGAATTAAATTTCGCAAAAAGTAACCCTTAACTTTTTATAGAAACACGAATTAAATTTTGCAAAAAGCTAAGGGTCCAATATGCAAAAATCTCACAACTTTTGATCACCTCTTGTAACCGTATAAAAGAAAGAAGTGCACCCCATCGCCCATCCATATCTTCAATTTTTGCAAAATTGACTTTGCATTCTCTCAAGGGTTTTCATCGTCCCCAAACTTTTTTAACCTAAATTCCGGCCGATCAAACCACCATGTCGTCGACGAAGATGATCGTTTTGAAGAGTTCCGACGGAGAAACCTTCGAGGTCGAAGAAGCGGTGGCGTTGGAGTCACAAACGATCAAACATATGATCGAAGACGACTGCGCCGACACCAGCATCCCGCTACCAAACGTCACAAGCAAGATCCTATCGAAGGTTATCGAGTACTGCAAGAAGCATGTGGAGACACCGAAGACCGATGATAAGACAGCTGAAGAGGATCTGAAATCGTTTGATTCCGAGTTTGTTAAAGTGGATCAAGGGACTCTCTTCGATCTGATATTGGTTCGGTCTCTTTTACCCTTTTTCGTTTAATTGAATTTACGTTTTTTTTTTCTTTGTTCACGCTTGAAATTTATCTGTGTTTATTAGTTTGTTTTAATTCCTTGATTCTTTTGTGAAAGATATCTAGGGTTTCGCCAATTTCCTTGAAATTTTCGTACCGATTTTGTCGGTCAAATTTCCTAATTCATGTTTAAACGATGATAGATCAAGGATATGTAGATTGAAGATGTATGAAAGATGGGGAAAACGAACCATCATAACAGAAAACAAATCATTATAGCTAATTCAATTCACAATTATATAATTCAAGTATTTGGATAATCTTACATGTGCTTATGCTCCCCTGATTATCAAATGGTTAGAGTAAATTACTAAATTATAAGCCTTTATTTTATCTATTACTTCTTTAAATAATCATTTTCACCAAACAACATACACTACTGAAGTTACTTCTTTACAGCTTCAAGGCACAGAACCCCATTCAAACATTTTCTCTTATACCATGTTTTGTTACAGATGATTATCTGATTCTGATCCTTTCATGTCACTTATCCACTTTCAGTTTTTCTGTGTTTTACTTTAAGATATGGAGATTCCATACTTCAATTTGTATGATTTTTTTTGTGTTTCAGGCTGCAAACTATCTGAACATCAAGAGCTTATTGGATTTGACTTGTCAAACGGTTGCTGATATGATCAAGGGGAAGACTCCAGAAGAGATTCGCAAGACTTTCAACATCAAAAATGACTTCACTCCAGAGGAGGAAGAGGAAGTGCGCAGGGAGAATGCATGGGCATTTGAGTAAATTCTAGAACCCCTAAGTTGTTTATAATCAAAGAGTCTTATAAAATGTTAATGGGTTTTCGTGCTTTTCTTAGAAAATGAACCTTGGAAAAAGATTGTTAATGTCTTCAAATCTTTGGTGGATGTTTTTGTTATGTTGGATATGATTATCGTCTTTGTGTTGGTGGTTGAATATTTTCTTCTGTTTTCTTTCGATAGCTAGAAAGCCTTTGTTCTTGTAGGACAAGACAAAATAAGTTGTAATGTGTTTGATATGTTCTGGATCAAAACCAAGTCATATGCTATTAAGACAAAAGTATTTGTCTTTTTGAAGAAGTGGGATCGATACTCTTTGGGTTTTAGGCACTATAGCACAATAATGTTTGATGAATTTACACATTTAGTCACTTAAGTTTTTTTGTTGCACAATTAGTCATTATACTTAAAAAAGTTGTTTCAATTATACCATTTTTAGCTAGGCAACCTGATGAACCGGTATATTTGCTATTTTTGGTGACCTGGAAATTAAAAAAATAACAAAAAAAACACTTTCTCACTAATCCACGTGTGAAATACTTCTTTTGGCACATATCCTAAGCTAAAAATAAGAACAAAAATAATCTCCCACCACCACCACTATCCACCGGCTCCATCCACAACAAAATTTAAAGACAAGGTACATTTTCGGCATCAATGGAGATTTTCAAGAAGATTGACTTTTACAATATCGAACATGGGACATGCAAATATCGATTCCAAACCTGAAAATTTCGATTCCAAAAACCATTTGAATCCGAAAACCCTAGAAATTGGTGTGCATTAGGTAAACCAGAAAACATAGATCTGCAGACATGGATTCTAAATCTACAAGTCTCGATCGTTGATATCTCATGCTAGAATCTTCGGAGCTTGGATGTAAGTCGGAACTCATTCACAAGGTTTCTTCCTACCTGGGTATTTCAGTTAGGGCTACAAAGTATTCTATTTTGAGGGCATTGAGGGAATAAGCTGACTGGGAGCATCTATGGTGCTCTTACTTTCTCCATTGATACATCTTCAAGTTGTTGACATCCTAAAATTCATTATTTTGTGAAATCCCATCGGAAATTGTTGAACATATACAAGAAATGAACTGATTGGGGAAATCCCGGAAACTATCTTAAATCATTTCTCATGAAATTGGAGGAGCGTTATTGCCATCGCCTTCATCCCCCATCGCCTTGACCAACATCGATATTTACACTCCTGGCTTTGTTCATCAACAATCCTTCACTCAATGCCACAGATGATATTTATCATCACCATCTTCACCCTCCATCATCGATACAACACCTGTAATTCAAAAAGAACACATCAAGAGGGATAAGAGGTAAAATCCATACCCATCTGCAACATCCAAGGAAATCAGCCCCTGTTCACCACAAATCAAACCACCAAATACCACCTGTTCATCTGTTGCTTTGAGTGAAATTAAAAAACACGAAGGAGTGAGACTTGAAGATTTAGTGGAGGGAGTAAAAGAAAGAGAATGGGTGTGATTTTATTTCATGTAACCGATTGAAGATAGGAAGGGAGATGTGACATGCGATCGATTGAAGAGAAGAAAAAGAGGATGCTAGCTTCGATTCACCGGAGGGAGTAAAAGAAAGAGAACGAGTTAAATGTTTATTTAAGTAAATGGTAATCTATATGGACACCACATATGCAACATGTGGCATTAATATAAACCTATTTTGCCATGTAGGACTCCAAATAAGTGGAGTTAACTTGGAAACCTGTTAGTTTGGGGGTCAAGCCCCTATTTAACAGGTAAAAACCAACTTTAAGTTCTGTCTGCACAAAAAAATACATGGATGACTAAATGTGTAAATTCTCCAAACTTTGTTGTGCTATAGTACCAAAAACCCATACTCCTTCCATCTCTCATCTTTGTAATATACAAATCCCTCATCTTTGCTATATATATATATATATATATATATATATATATATATATATATATATATATATATATATATATATATATATATATATATGAGACAATGTCTAATATAGTTTTCAAAATAACTGGTATGGTTTTTTACTGGAATGTTATTTATTGGTTTCGTTTAAAACTTGTTTGCAATATTGTTTAAAACATATAGTTAACCTGAAAGCTTTTAGGCTTTAGAATGATATTTGGATAACCTTCGGCCCATTTCAATATGTTTCCTTTAAGCCTCACAATGGAATGGAGCAGGTATTTATCCCTATCCAATCCAAACCCGTAAAAATTATATGAAATTATATGGGTTTGAAGTATAGTTTTTTATTTGTTTACTCGTTGATAACTTATACTGCTAACCCTTTTATTAGGACCGGGTATGGATCATTACCAATCCGTTCCGTTTATAAATGTTTTGTATAAATTTTAGAATTATAGATTTATATTTTATTAACCTAAACTTTGCTTTTAAATTTAATCGAAAGTCCAAAGAGAAAAGGTCAAAGACCAAGTTGTTTCTACATAGGACTGTGAGGACTCTACTTTTAGACTTTTAGTGTTATACCAATAATCATGATATCTTTTCATTTATATTATATTAAGCAATCATCAATTTTATTTATAAATCATTAAAGTCATTTATTAATCAAAAGAAGGTTTGCAATTGTTTTTCTGTATAACGCAATTGATGGTCAAAAATCAATCGGAAGTTACTATAATGATTTTAATTCTAATCGGAAGTCCCAGGGTACATTTGCTTTTTCTAAATCAATATTTGTTTTATTTAATAAATGTTATTTTAAGATTTAAGTAAAACGAGTTTGATTATTCAAAAAAACTTACGAGTTATGGGGTGAGTTTGGAAATCTGTTGATTTAACGGATAAGGGTATTAATTTGATTATTCAAATCCCTGAGGGTTATGAAACATGTTTGGATCGGATTTTGAAATTTATAAAAAAGGTTTGGATGAAGGTCGATTCGCTTCAGATCCGTCTCATTGTCAAGTCTAGCTTACTTAACTCATTCGATTGAGATTCTAGGAATCTAGGTTATGTTAATCTTTGTAATAAAGGTGTTAAACATATTTTCTACAACATGCTTTCTTTTTGTGAGTATAGGTTTTGACAAAAAAAAAAAACTTTAGAAATCACATTTTTTTTTTCTTTTTATAACTTGAAAGAAATTCAAATGAAGAACAAAATACATGGTCACAAGATGCAATGCATCATTTGTTTTGTTATTTGATTACTTTTATTAAGGTTCTAAAAAAACTTGATGTTAGCTAGTTGGTGGACTGAGGTTAAGGGATTAATCGGCTAGACAATGATTAATCGGAGATCCTAAATTGTTAATTCTTTGAATTAAAAAAAAAAAACTAAATATGACTAATATGATAAAAAAAAAAGTTCGTAAATATCACTAATATCAAAACAAATAGGTTAATATGATTAATACAATAATAATTACTTTCTAAATAATTTCTAGTGAGATATAACATCTTCAAAGTGTTAAAACTTTATTTTTTTCTATTGCTTCGCTCATTGTGTAGACAGTGATTAATCGATAGACATCTTCTAGTATGTCGGGTAGCGTTTAGAGACTAACCGAAGATTAATCAGGACCTTGTTGGAATTTTTACAACACTGTTTTTATTAAATAAAGGATATTAAGATTAAAAGGGGATTATTTCGATTATGCTTTTATGTTTGAGATTGGGAAAAAAATAAAAGAAAAAAAAATGGAACTAGGTCGATTGAGAGATAAAGAGCTCAAATGACAACCAAAAAGAGGGAGAGAAGAGTTAGGGTTAAAAAGGAGAAAAAAGTTACTCAATAGGGTTTAAATGTTGAATGAGTAGGCTATCATGTGCCTCATAAATAAAATGAAATGAGTTATGTGTTGTGGGGGTCATACCCACTTGTGAATTTTCTAGTAGGTTGGTTAGCTTTTGAAATTTTTTCTTCTATTTTGATTTTTTATGCTCATAATGCTTTGGGTCATCCCGTAATTATAAACCTATTATTCCGATGACTTTTCATTTGGTGGCCAAAATTTGATTTGGCTTCACCAAAATTCCTCATATCTTAAGACCTACAGTTCCTTTTGGTAGTTTCAAACCTACGGCAGTTAAGAACAACCATAGTTGATCCTGAAAAATAACATATTCTTAAAGATTCAGGACGAACAAGAAAAAAAGAGCTCTCATCTTTATTATAATTTTGTATTTTTAAATAAAATATATAACAAAAAAATTAAACCCTGTGTAACTGCTCACTTTATCCCCTTTAAGCCCCATAAGAACAACTCATAACTAGGAAAGTGAATCTAAGTTTTTTTCTGGTCAATTGGCCATCCACTTTGGTGCCAAAAACACACATTAGAATTATGTAACACACGATTTTATGGTGTACTTCCTGTTTTTGTGTAGAATGTAAAAAAAATAAAATTATGTTACATACTCCCTCATGTCCAACCCAACTTGTAATTGAAATCACAAGATTCGATCAAGACTGGAACACTAGCTCTCATATGAAAGATGTATGTGTTTTACCCGGTAGGTAACTAGCTAGTTGTTTTTTTGCATAGAAAGTAAGTTTCATGTAATATATATAAATTTTAAAACGGTAATTTTAGTGAATAACTAAGTATAAAACGCACATATTTTGATCATGATAGGGATTAAGTGATTCACTCTATGCATTTCATTTCTTTATAATATAACTTAAAAAGTAAGGCATTCCAGAAATGAAAGTTTCAAACTACATATTGGCATTCGAATAGTAGAAAGTTTCAAACTAAGAATTTAATGAACAATAAAACAATCAAAATATCACCATTTTCTTTTGTTTGACTCTGAACACTTGTACGACTGTTTAGTCAAAGTCTGGATGAACAGAAGTCAAAACCGAACACATAAGTTCTTACGCTATCCATCGTTTATTCCTTCATCGTTTCTCGACACTTCCCCAATAAAACATGTCTCGTAGTTTCCATCATCTGGAAGCCATGCTCTTGATTTTGATCTCAATTTCTGTGTTTATGGTTTCTTCCCGCCCTATCGCCACCGGTCCAGAAGAACACGTTGCCGCGACGTCAGTGATATTAAAGAGCTCCGA